GACGTTTTTGTGTTTGTGTGGGTGTATGCGCCCTGTTTGTATTCTGTAACAAGATCTACCCCTTCTTAATGAAATGAAGCAATTATTTTTCCTTGGCTTAAAAAATGCACTTCTTATATTGTGTGTTATATTAATCTATTTTTTTATGTTTACTTAGATATTTGTCGTGGAGTTAACCCCTTTTGTAATATAATTTCCTCCACCTTTTGAAAATAAAGCAGTATTACATGTATACTTTCCCGGCTGATGACATTCAGTAACATAGTCTTTCTCTTTTTCAAAATGGGGGACAGAAAAAAGCTAAATGTAAGCAACACGGTAAGTTTTGTTTAAGTTAAGGAATTCAGTTCGTGGTAAGTTTTGTTTAAATTTAGGGTTTCAGTTGAATTTCAGGAGACGAGACAAAGATTAGAGGTGGGGACCATCACTTTAAACTATTTGCCTACCACTCTTTAAATCTGTTAAGTAATAAAGCACCCGTTTTCAAAAAAGCAAATCTTACCAGTCTCGGTGACCATCACTTCAAACTATCTACCTACCACTCTTGTGTCGCGGTGCAGAAGTTGGCATGGCGTTGTGGTTCTCATCTGTGACTGACCTCGGTGATGGCCATGCTTGCTGATTGGGGACCGGCATGGTCGGATCTGATGTTGAGGCGATGATGGTGGATTGGTCATTTCCGCTACCACTTCGTCCAATCTGTACCGGACTTGCACCCCTAGTTATGCAGAAGTGGAAGCACAAAAGCGGATGTGAGCATCATGGCGGCGAGCAAGACTGGTTGGGCAATAAAGGTGGTGTGATTTGCTTTGCCCCCAGGCATGCTGGCAGCGGCGCATCTCATGGGAGGCTGGTAGATTGCTGTTGTGCACAATGTCCATTAGTGAAACAATAGTGCATCAACGAAAATGATGCCACAGTGTCTTCTTTTCTAGAAAGTTCACTTTTAACTGGCTACTTATGTGGTATGGACTATTAGGTATTGTGAGCGAATTGACGATCCACACCGCCTTCCAGGCATTGTTTTGCCCCAAATTTGATGTTTAGTTAGACTATCCAATATGAAGCACAAGCGATGAATCCTTCTTGAATTATAGGGTTGACGGTAGAAATGTGGAGATGTTGCCACAGGCTGGCCCAACCTGGATGACATCAAGTTTTCTCTTTCTTTTTCAAGATCATTTGTTCGGCATCTTGTGCTTATGATGGTTTAATAAAAAAGTTGAGCAGCGGTTTAATTATTAATAATACGCGACCCCTCATTTTTTTAATAATTGCAATTTCTAATTCATGACCGACAAAGTTTTTGCTTTACAACAAGCTCACATGCACATCTGTGTAATCTCCACCTTGTGGTCACTGCCATGGACAGGCAGCGGTACTCGTGGGAGGAAATCTGAGATACTCCGATCCATTCTACTATCTTTGTGCCTCCCCAATCACTTGCCGCTATTCCATGCGCTTCAGTGGAAAAGGTAGCGTTAGCGCCCTCGGCACACGGGATTAACCGAGGAGAGCTCGCGGTTTGAAGGAAGAGGGTTGCTGGTGCCCTGGGTTGGACGTCAGTCCATGCCGCGAGCATCACCATATTCCGCCCCTATCCCATGGCCCGTCGCACCTCATGCGCTCCGGCATTCCCTGCCCATTCCTCCTATCTCCACTGCCCGCCTCACTGGTGTTCTGTCCGCCGGGTAGGCGGTGCTCATGCGCAACGCGATGAGAGGGCGCTCACCTCACACGGGATCGATCAAGGGGGTGCTCGTTCGATGGGATCCTGCAGTTCAATCAAGCATTTCCCAAGTAAGCCCTTTGTGCCTCTCTCTCCTTGTTCTTGATTTTTCTGTCCGTCTATTCGTTTGTGCTAGCTTGGAAATCGCTGTTGGCTGTACACTGCATGAGATCAGTGCATACATGCTGTTGCTCCCTGTTCATCCTGCTAGTGCTTCAGGGAGGGGCTGCGCTGACAGGACTGTATGTGGTTTGGGGTTACTAGTATCTGGAAACATGTAGTACCTTCAACGACATTACCAAATTGCTAAAAGGACAATAACATCCGGGTCTATCACAGCTCGGCTGCACCCACTTCTGTGTTTGCCCCCCTCTCCTTTTGATTTGCCCTCCTTTGTGTTACAATGAACTTTGATTGCCATTCCTTTTGGCGTCCATTCAAGGGAAAATATTTTCACTGCCCAATAGAATGTCACAAGAAAAGTCACATGTAACAGAGTCCGGACAGTAACTACTATACGCTGCAAACCTGCTGCAAAACAGATTTCATAAAATTCTGAGAGAACAATCTGCACATAACATCGATCAAGCTATAGTTTATGATCTCTCAATATGGCACAGAATTTGAATTCCACAACATCATCAAATGTCCAAAACGTGTGCCATCCAACGAAAATTCAAAGTTGAAGTGTTTCATGGTTGCAACTTTTGCAGTGTACGACGGCAATGTGTAAACCTTTTTGACGTTATAAGGACGAGTAATGGTAATCCCTCTGGTTTTTTTCATTTTTTTTGAAAAGAAGGTTCATATTATTAAAAAGTTCGAATAAAACAAAGTCATAGATCCATTACAGCTCGTGAACGGGGCAAAATTAAAAAGGAAAACTCATTGCCACAACCGGCAGGATAATAGGAGTAGAACACTAGACACCTATCGTATTATGAGACCGCCATCCAAACCGGTTGAATATAGCCCGTGCTACCATCTCCGATTGGTTGCACCCAGTAATCCCTCTGGGTTTTTTATATGGACCAACACATCGCTATACTATGGTGGATGGATTGAGATTTCTGTTGAACAGGAAGTGAGATTCTGTAGCAATTCACAACAAGTTACCTACTGTGGAGCCGAGGTGGTAATTTAGCTCCAATCTACTTCTGCTGTTCGGACCAGAAAAATCTTGTTGTATCTGGGGTGTGGTAACCTGATAGGAGGTGGACTCCTGTCCGGACTGACCACTCTGGGAGTTATCCTCCTTTTCAGAAAAAAAACACCAAAAAATATTACATGCAGCATGGTCAGAGATGAGGTTAATTATGCACAACTCAATGAAAAGGAAAACCATATTGACAATGGGGAATTACTGTCCACTAAAATAAGACAGAACTCGGAAACATTGCCTTGTTATTTCTCAAAGTACAAAAATAAAATATTTGTGAAAAGGAAGAGAAATTAACTATTTGTGATTACCACCACCAAGGTTTTTAGTTTGGAAAAGAAAACAATTGTGGACCTCATCAAAATATGTGAAATTTCATTGAAAGTTTTAACCATGACGGCACTACCGGGTCACTTGAACAACAATATCAAACGCAACACTTGCAAGAGCAGTACGGAGTTGCGTGACTTGCGGCCAATGGACGGCGCCTCCCGAGAAGAGGGATACGGCTAATAATCAAGGCGCCGTGCAATTTAATTCTACCTCCTGGATCCATCTTTAAATGGGAGGAGTCCCATTCCTTGCCTATTTCATTCTTCTCTTGTCACATGCAACACCCACAAACACAACTTGTACGCCTGCACATTTGAAATCTCGATTGTTTCTAGTCATTCTGACTGACAAATTAGAAATGAATATTAAGTTGTAAGAAACTAATACTTGGATGACATTTATGTCTTGCCTCTCTACTTGTAGGAATAGGAGGCATTAGGAAGTTAGGGAGATCCAAGCAACAATATGCCACATCTTAACTGTCTCACCCTTTGCAGTCCACAGCTAGGATACGTAGTGCTAAGAAAACAGCCTCTCTTTCCTGGCACAAGATACTCTCACGTAGCTAATACTTTGTCAGAGAGGTAATGCGAAAAAGTTTATTAAATTGCATTAGATGACCAATATATTTTAGCCCCATAGTTTTGGTGTAACTTGCTTCAATAGGACGTTAAAAAAAATTACATCCAGAATGGTGGTAGTACCAATATGTAACAATAGTTTCTTATTGTTTAATACTTAGGTGTATCTCTAGTGTGATTTTAGTAATATACCCAAACTAAACCTGTCTAACTATTGCTTTGGGTCTAGCTCATTCCTCACTTAATGGACACCTGGTGGTGATTGCACATACATATTTTTGGTTTGACCAAAGTGTAACTCTACTGAAAATAACTGGCAACATAAACAGTGACATACTCCGGCTTGGTCTACATATTGATGGTAGTCAGTTTATAACATGGTGAGTTAAATCACTATTAAGTGGCATTGAAGGATCGATCAACATATGTAAGTGAGCTTGTCCTTTCTGCTACAATTTATTGCAACATCACTGGGTCTGTGTACCACATGATGGGTGACGTGGCTAACATTATGACCACAGGCGTGACAATACTTCTACATCCTCTACCTTCAAAGGCCCAACCTTTCAGTCGCTGTCTCTCCATTCTTCACTAACCTCCCCGACCGTCATGTATGCACTCGCTGACACACTATCGTGAAGCCTAAATGTATATCACAATGCAGTGAAAATCTGGATCAGATCTAAAGCTTCACTAGAAAAATCGTAGTCAATGTTGATGGAAGCATATAGGATTAGGAGGCATCAGAAAATTAGCAAGATATGGTGGCAATGCTCGGAAATCTGGGAAGGCTAGCGCGGACGCTGCAATCATCCGTCATACCAGTGAAACATTCCCGTGCTGCGGGGGCTGCATGCCCCTCGTCTGCTGGCCGTTAGCTGCCTTTCTTGCTTCCGTAATATGGGTCCGAGTGAAAGAAAGATGCAGTGGCGGCGTTGTTATTTCTTTGAAGACATGAGAATAAGTTTAGCATGTTTATACACAATTCGTAAGTAGATATGTCCACTGCAAATCAATTGATGTGCTATGCGAGGACTATTATGTGACTTGTAGATATTTGCCAGGTCGTAACTTCTATACACTGCAAACCTGGCGCAATAATACTGACTTGTAGATATTGACAATGGGCAATTACTGTCCATAACTTAAATTCCATTTTGTTTCTTTCATAGGAAAAGAATTTCATGTTTTCAAACAGCTAGCTGTCTTGAGGCTTCATGGCCGGGAACAGGAGGACCTCCTTTATGTTTTGGGAATCCGTCAGCAACATGGTGAGGCGATCAATCCCCAGACCCCAGCCTCCGGTCGGCGGCAGGCCATACTCAAGGGCAGTGCAGAACGTTTCGTCCATGGACATTGCTTCATCGTCACCGTCCTGACGATTCCTCAGCTGCTCCTCAAACCGCTGCCTCTGCACGACGGGGTCATTCAGCTCCGTGTAGGCATTGCACACCTCATGCTTGTTGATGAACAGCTCAAACCTTTCGGTCAGTCCAGGCCGGGCCTCGTCCCTGTGGGACTTGGCCAGCGGGCTCATGATCTCCGGATGGTTGATGATGAACGTCGGGTTCACGCATGTCTCCTCCAAGAAGTGCCCGACAAGCTTGTCCAGCAGCCGTGCCGTCGTGTGTGGAAGCGGGCACGTAATGTCGTACCTGGCACAGGCCTCCATCAGGTACTCGTTGGCATCGTCAGTCGACAGATCCTCCTCCGGTATGTTGAGATCGGCCATGTGCTCCAGTCCCTTGATCATGTCGATTCGCGCGAACGAAGGCGTGAAATCGATCTCGATAGGCGGCTTGTCGGTCCCGTTGGCATGGTACTGTACCTTGTAGCCGCCCGTGAGCTCCTTCACCATGCCGCCCAGCATCTCCTCCGTGAGCTCCATGAGGTCGTTGTAATCCGTATATGCCATGTAGAACTCGCACGTCGTGAACTCCGGGTTGTGCGTCGTGTCGATGCCTTCGTTCCTGAACTGCCTCCCGATCTCGTACACGCGGTCCAGCCCCCCGACGACGAGCTGCTTCAGGTAGAGCTCCGGCGCGATGCGCATGTACAGCTTCATGTTGAGGTCGTTGTGGTTCGTGACGAACGGCCTCGCGGCGGCGCCACCGGCCACCACGTTCATCATCGGGGTGTCCACCTCCAGAAACCCGCGCTCGTCGAGGAAGTTGCGGATGAAGGAGACGACTCTGGCTCGCGTCGTGAAGACGGACCTCACCTCGGGGTTCACCATGAGATCGAAGTACCGCCGACGGTACCGTGTCTTCTGGTCCTTTAGGGCGTAGCTCTCCATGTTCCTGGGCATGCCGGGAGCCCACGGTAGCGGCGGTGCGCGACGGTGCCTATCTGGCTGCCGCGGCAGCATGTGCAGGCAGGGCGAGAGCACAACGAACCGGGCAGGAAATATGCTGAGCTCGCCCCTATTGCTCTTCCCGGGGAACCCAAACACGCCAACGACGTCGCCGACCTTCACGCCGGAGTGGAAAGCGGAGAACTCCTCGGGTGTCTCCAGCTCTGATGTCCCGGCGTCGGCCATGACCTGGACCTTGGCGCCCCCACCATGGAGGTCATAGAAGAAGAGGCTGGAGGACGACGTCCTCTTGCTCATGACCCTCCCGGCCAGGGACTCCGTGATGTCCACCAGCTTCTCCCCGTCTGCCAGGCCCCTGTACCTGTGGACGTAGTCGGCGACGGAGACGGTGGGCTGGAAGGCGTGCGGGTAGGGGTTCACGCCGGCGGCCTTCTGCGCGGCGAGGGCGCTGAGCCTGTTCTGGTAGTACTGGGTGGGATCGACGCCGTCGTCTGCCATCGATCGATCTCACAGTTCAAAGCAGCAGCCGAAGGCGTGCGTCAGAACAGATCCGAGATTTTGTTGACCTTGAACCTCCTTTGTTTTCTTTTCTGTTTATATATACATGGGGACAGGTAGACACTACGTAAATTTTTTTCCTTTTTTAGGGTGACACTACGTAAGGTTAGCGTGCACACTACGTAAACTTTCCCCAAGACTCCACCGCAAGGGAAATTTAGGGGTACAGGCACGTACCAGCCGCCGAGGTCGATTAGCGTCTAACTAGGTGACCCCCGCGGCCACCACCGAGCCACAACTCCATGGCGAACTCAAAGCACTCGAGCGGCATAGCACCGCCGAAGTTGGCCGCACCCCCGGCTCCTTTCCGCCCCTGCCACCTTCCCTCGGAATCCGGTGACCATCTCGGCCCCGACAACCTCCGCCGGCCGAAATCGAGCTCGGTGCCCCAGTGACCGTCCGATCCACCTCCTACCGCAGATTTTATGTTTCATGTGGTTCTGAAAATTTCGGTGTCCAGTTTTAGGTCTTCTGTAAAAGCAGAAACTTGTTTCGCTACCTAAATCTTCTCTCTTCACCTAAAACTTGATTTTGTTGGCATTTTTTTTGGGTTTGCTGTTAAAGATGCTCTTGTTTGATACTATTTTGTTTACACATGTAGATAAGCCCCGTTAAGCTGTTTATGTTTCCTAATTTACATCCAGTGTACTGTTGTATCTTTTGTGAGGCAGGCGGCTGCTCGTGAACGAGGCTTCCTTTGTCTCCTTTTTTTTCCTGACTCTAGCCGACAAGTATCCATAAGAGCGACCAGCCCTGAATGGTTAAACATATCAATCCTCTCCTAAATTTCTCTCTTTTTGTCGTTGGGCAAGGAGCACTCCATTCAGCACTTTCCAAAGGGGACCAAAAGCCACCGGGCTACCAAGAAGACGGATTCAGTTCAGTCCCGTTTTCAAGACCCGGTTCAGTGTTTGGGGACGGCTTGGTCCAAAAATAAGAAAGCTCATCTTCTGCCTTGAACACTTTGACGGAAAAGAAACATCAGCTTTGCCACCTGAGTAAGAACACACATGGACTACCTTTCAGCTTGTTGCCTGTATCTGCACTCTCGAAGAATTAACTTTTGCTGTTCTATGATAGTGGTATCATGCACCTCAATGTGCTTTGCCCTACAGTAGTCTTAAGCTTAATTTAGTTCTAGCACTGTTAGCAACTTAGCATTGCAGCAATCAGTACGTCATGATCCTGGTATTACCGAACATCGACTAACAGCAGAGATAAGATACTACAAGTAACCAGACGGACACAGCTGACAAGAGCACGAACAGAATGGTGTACAGATTTGCTTTGCTGATGAGTTTTATTTGACAGAAAGGTTAAAAAAAAAACTGTGTTCGATAGTTTTAGTAGGGTGTGGGGAGTTGCTGGAAGTTGCAAAAGGAAGATAGTGGTGACGCGAAACAACATCGTGCACATGATGGAAAATCAATATAAACTACATTATTGGCTGCAACCTACTTACCTACATCACGCAAAAAAAGTATGTGTACAGCAGAGGTATAAAAAAAACTGCATCAATGGCATATGGGAAAACATGAAAACTACAGCAATGGCACCAAAATAAACTAGAAATGAAACTACAGCCAATTATGGTTATGATTCAGCAAAATGCATGCCCTGAACTGGTTGAACTACATCTATATTTTCAGTCAAAAACAAAATCTATGCTGTCCCACTTATTGTCAGGAATACAACCAGACAACCTCATGAAAAGCTCATCTAAGTATGCGTGAAGAAAATGATTAAACTTAAATACTACATCCAGCACAGAAAGCAAATTACACTGAAAGTTGCATCCATGCTTGGCAAAAAATACAGTGGAAAGAAAACCCATGTAGGGTCGTGTATGCATTTACCTGACACAGAAAAACCAGACGAGATAACAAGTCGAAAACCTCTGAAACAATAACTGGTGAGAGCTCTCCTGAGAACACAGCCTCATCACCCCCTATGGACAAAAAAATTGAATTGATAGCATCATCAGTGATGGAAATAAACTGATACTAAAAGTATGCCACTAAATAGCGTTGACCTGTATCACACTAACTCTAAAGTACACTATGATAGGACTACAAGTAAATCTGTAAGAGTAATAAACTGTGTTCAACTAGCACTAAGCATTAGGGTTAAAACACCCATACTAACAATTTTAGAGACAGATCAACCAGGCAAAAACTAGCAGCCTAACAACAAGGAAGGAGGTAAGCAGCAAAGAAATAATGAACATTTAATCAATAAATAAAACTTTGCAGGTAATTGCCAAATTTCCACTCTTTTCCTCTTAAAAACTACTCGCAACTACATCATAGCACAATTTGCTGCCAAATTTGCTATTCACTCCGCCATCCAAATCCTACACTTGTATTTCTCGCGGAGTATGTCATAACTCACAGCTACCTCAACGAATAGAAGTAGCCAAATTTACCATCTTATAATGTACGGATGGGCTTAGGAATTTCCTCGAACACATTGGCTCCTACTCATTTGGAAACCGCCAGATCAGACAGGAAAGCTAGCAGTAAGCTTCGAACATCGAATAAACAAGAGGATGTGGCGCGACCAACCTTGGGGAGTGGTGCGGTTGACGACCACCTCCGGGGCCCGGTTGCACGACCACCTCTTCACCACTGCGCGGCCCCATATGTGATGCTGCTCCGATGCTGCTAATTCGCCCACTGCAGGCGTACGAGGAGCAGCGCAGGGTGGAGAAGGTGACGACCTCGTTGACGGGACCTTGAGGGACTGGACGGATCAAGGATGGCAATGACAGCGGCGGGCGAGTGGAAGCGGTGCGGTCCTTGGAGATGACGAAAATGGAGGCAGGCGAGTGGCAAGGCAACGGCGGCACGGGAGATGGAGGAAGTGTGATTTGGTGGTTGGTGAGGTGGGTACGCGGTGGAGCGAGAGCTGGAGTTCTGGCGAGAGCTTGTGGTCGTCGCGCTCATCGGCGACGAGTTATGCGACGACGGGGACCAAATAATGGGAAAAGCATAGCGTCAGTGATGTTTCTATTTATTTTTTCTTGGGAAGGAGCACTCTTAAAGGAAGCCTATTTTTGGGACATGGTGCTACGCGAGGATGTTATTCTGATCGACGATAGCTGCCATGCAATTCACACTTAATATAATGCTTAACTGAACACTCTGGCAATACTTAGGAAAGTGAGTGAATACACAACATTAGTACAATAGACATTGTCCAGCCATTACTGAATTTGGTGGAGAAAGGCTGTTGAGTTTATGGTTAGGGTGCAGGGTTGCAGGGTACCCGTTAGTGTAATAATTGTTCGCGACCTGGGTGATATGCCTGCTCCTAGTAAGTAGAAGTTACTCACCCAACCTGCACTATATATGGATCCTTCATCAACGTAGTGCATGGTATCCAGTTCGTTGGATGGTGAAGGTTGTTGCTCCAGTTTTTCCTACTTTGTTCTTGCTTGCTATGCATGTACAATCCTGTATTCCAATTTCCAATAGCAGATTCGCTGCTTCTCAGCCTGGTTGATTGGTTGGTATTCTCAAACAGAACAGAAGCTCTCATGCAGGCCAGCCCGAGATTAGGAATTTTGCTACAAAAACACAACCTCATGGCCGTGTCCGTTCTGGAGATGCTAGAGGAGCCAATGAACTGCTGAGAGCGATAGATAGATAGATAGATAGATAGAGAGAGAGAGAGAGAGAGAGAGAGAGAGAGAGAAATTTCATCGACTCGAGGGGCAATTGCCTTATTAGCGAATTTGCTTGTGATTACCACATCTGAGAATAAAGGCGTGACCCTATAGCCTCTTCTCTCCCTTTGCTAGAGGTGTGCTGCTCTAGTCTTCTTGATTTAACTTCCTTTGCTAGGGTAGTAAATTGATGGAGCTCGTGAAATCGTGAATGATGTGGAAGTTATAACACACATATATAGCTAGCGTTTGTCCTTTTGAGCAGACAATTTGTTTAGTATGCACGTTAGAGCATCTCCAACAGATGCCCAAAAACGGCTCCGCGTGCTAAAATTCGGGATTTTTTGGGCGCCAGACAGCTCCAACGCAAGCTGTAAAATAGTGCGCGTGCAAAAAAGTGTTAGGCGGACGCTGAAAAACGCTATCGCGTGCTGTAAATTTGAGGCGCCGGTTTACGCGCGCTTCATAATTTACACTGCGCCATTCCCCCGTCATCCAGGTCCAGCATCTCGGCGCCGTCCCCGCCTCATCTATTTGTGGCCGTAGGCAGCACTACCGCCGCGCCGTTGCAGGTGGCCCGACGCCCGCCCATCCCGTCGCTAATCCCTAGCACCACCCTCGTTGTTGCCCTGGCCGCCGTGCATGGAGAAGACGACCCCCGCGAGAGGATAATGTCGATTGGGCGAGGACTAATCGTAGCCACGAATCGCTTTGCGATCGCAAGGCCCGCGCGTGACCGGACCAAACTCCGGCCGGTCCGCCGGGTGGAAACGTTTCCCTATGGAAAATTAGGTTGGAGATTTTGTTGACCTTGCACCTCCTTCGTTTTCGTTTCTGTTTATATACATGGGGACAGGTGGACACTACGTACCCTTTTTTCTTTTTTTAGGGTGACACTACGTAAGCTTAGCGTGCACACTACATAAACGATCCCCGAGACTCCACCCCAAGGGAAATTCAGCGGAACAGGCACGTACCAGACGCCGAGATTTTTTTTTTGAGGGAAAAAAAAAGACCTCGGCGGCTGGTACCAGCCGCCGAGGTCGATTAGCGTCTAACTCCGTGGTCATTTAGTATTATGCAAATATTTGTCATTGCAAATTTGATACGTAACATTTACTTTTGCGAATTAGTAGCCAGAGTTATAAAAGATCTTGGTAAGAAATCATGTATTTATGAAGAGGGTAGTATAGAAGCTTAGAAGAAGATAGTCAGGATCATGAGTTGGGATCGGATTGATCCTCTATGATAAAATTGCAAATGGTTGGCTCAT